TTTATATTCCATAAAATTCAGCTTTTGAAATTGTACCGGTCAGTAATTTTCGGTAGTTCTAGAACATTTCCAGCCCCCCAGAAAGATCCCTCATGCCTCTGGGCGCTCAGTTTTATTTCCCACCCGCAGCCCAGACACTTGCAACTCTGCCTTCTGTCAACCTGGAAGCTTTTCTTCTTGGGGTCTTCTTATGAAGAAGTCTGGGGTTTCTTTGAGAAAGAGCCCTGGAGGCTGAGCGGGCCCTGCCAGGTAGCGTTGGGGGGCAGCCTGCCTGGAAGGGGAAGCGCCGGGAAGAGAGGCAGATGTGGTCTGTGGGGAAGGCTCAGGAGACATCAGGAGAAGATTTTTTTTGAATACATTCCCCTGTCATTACTATTGTTTTATTTTCAGACTGCTGTCTTTAACCTCAGGGTATTTACAAGTGATACTCCTATGGTCATAGGGATTTCCCAGGTCCTTAGAGTCATAGTCACCCTGTATTAAATATATTTTCTACAGTTTCCAGCCCCAGTATATATTTAACAATACCAGCAAGAGAGGGGGAGGGTGGGTGTGTGGGTGTGTGGGTGTGTGTGTGTCTGTGTGTCTGTGTGTCTGTGTGTCTGTTTTCTTTCCGGTCTTCTCGGCCCCGAAGGAGTGTGTTCTAAAACAAAGTTCCTGGGAATTATTGTATCTTAGTTTTCTTCAATATTTTACATTAAGGACTATTAAAACAACACTGGAATTGTTAAAATGTGGAGAAATTTTCTTCTTAACTATCTTGCTAGGTAGATGTCCATCAAGTATACTAAGCCCTTGTGGACTTGCTCAGAGGATAACCAGGTTAGTGATAAACTTGCTGTCCATGGCCCCAAAATGTTCTGTCTCTTACTCACTATATTACATTGCTCCCTTCAGGAGCTGTGTAAACAGAAAGTGTGATATTTCTGTTTTCGTGTTCCCACTGGGAAACATGAGAGACAGAAACTAGAAATTCTGCGCGCATCCCGACAGTCTCTGCGACAGGCCCGTGTGGGGCGCTACCTAACTCTGCTCTTTGTCGCTTCACGTTTACGACCCCCGCCCCGGAGTGGTGAGCAAGGCACGCCGGCAGGGCTCTCCTAGGAAATCCGTTCTCCCCCATTCGACCTGACTCCAAGGCATTTTTCTGCTGCCTCCTTCCTCCCGCCGTCTGCCTACCTTCCATGTCCTGCTTTCTGGATCAGCCAGGACAGGCCAGATAACGCTGTAGGAACAAAAACAGCCCTCAGTTCTCAGTGGCTGCCCCCGACAATATTTCTCCTTCATTTTACACATCATTTGCGGGCTGGCAGAGAGTCACTACCCATTAAAGCAGTAACTCAGGAATTCAAGCAGCCACCAGCTGGTTGCTGTGCCAAAGGGAAAAGTGTTCTGGAGGGTCTGGCGCTGACGATGAAGCGCTCCAGGCTAGGGGTGACGGCCATCGTTCCTCAGGCAGCCGAAGCAGCCCCGTGTTGCGTACAACACGAGGGGGCCCGGCGCTGTGACTCTGCGTTGGGCCCCAAACGCCGGGCGATGGGGAAGGAATCCAAAACTATTTGGCAAACAGCCCTAATGACCAGCCCATATTCTTAGCTGGTGATTTGTTTTACATCTTCACTGAGAAAAATGGAAGCGCCCCTCTCCCCGCCCCCCACCAGGGCTTAGTCAGCTGCCTATTTTCAAATTTATAGTCCTATGAATGGACATCTTTTTTCCCTTCCAGCCTCTTCCAGAATAGGAAGTATTTTTTTCTCCTTTCCAAATGCTCGTGATCGTATCCTCTCAGGAACCAGTTTGCAGCATAAACAGTGGTATCCTACTACATGTGTAACGACTGGTTCCCCGGGCTGGGGGACAGCCTTGATTTTTGGAGTTTCCCGGTTTCCTTGTGTGTATCTCCACCACGGTCAGTTTCAGCCAGGCGTGACTGGAGGCGTGACCAGGAAGAGATGCACACAATAGGCTTTCTGGAAGTGAGACGAAGTGACTCTAGCACACTGTGTATAGGTTGGAGTCCCGATACGTAGATACATATTTTAGTAAAGCTTGGTTTCTTTCTTTTTTTAGATTAGTGATAAAACAGTTCTCCTCCCCTCCCCGCTTCAACGCTAGAGGATTGCCCTATAAATCCCACAGGTGTGTCTGCCTCCCTTTGGGAGGCCCCCTTTCTGGACACGCCAGGGCTTTGCTCCTGTGGTTCGTCGCCCCCGCTTCTGCGATGTCAGCCTCCTCCCTTCGTGGCATCCCCACGAGTGTACCGACTCTGCTCTCTTCCACTGCTGAGAGCCGTCTCGATCCGCCTGCCGCAGCAGGGCCACTCAGACACTTCTGTGGGCCACCTCCACTTCCTCCCTTTTCATTCGTCATGAACCTGCTCTCATGCCTACCCCTCTGCAGAAATGGCGCTTGGCGTTGTCACCAGTGATTTCCATGCTGCCAAATCTAGTGGGTCACGGCTGTCCTCCTCTCACGTGGCCTCTCGGGCGGCCGATGTAACTGATGGCTCCACCCTTCCAGACGTGCTCTCTTTCGGCTTCTGCATTATTGCACTCCCTGGTCCCCTGGGCTGAGCCCTCCTCTGCGCCCAGGAGATGGCTTTGGGCCCCCTCCTGTATTTGCTGGTTCCCTAGGAGACCTCATCAGTTCCCAGGCCTTTAAAAACCAGCTGCATGCTGACAACTCCCACCCTGATTTCCGGTGCCCCACTTTCTCCCCTGAGCTCCAGGTGGGTGTATCCACGGCCCCCCTGCTGTTTCTACCCAAGGATTTCACAGGTCTCTGAATGACTGCAACCCCAAGACGGAGTCCCTCATTCCTCTCTGTTCGTCCTCCCACCATTTCTGTTTTGCCTGAGTCTTTCCTATTTCCAAAAATAGTAAATTGTTTATTCATTTAATCAATTCAGAAATTCAGAAGTCATCCATAACTTCTTACCTTTCTTCACCCCTCACGTCCAACCCAGAAGCACATCCTTTTGCTCTGCCAATTAAATATGTATTTTATCTGTCCATTTATCTCTGTCTCTCATCCAGACCATCCTCACGTTTCTCCTGCATCAATGTAATAGTACCTAATAGGATATTCTACTTTCATATTAGCCTCTTTCCATTCCATGCCTGGTATTTTAACTGAGTGATTTTTATCAATGAAAATCAAATTACCGTGATGTGGAGAAGGGTATATGGGGGTGAATGGTGACAGAGAGAGACTTGACTTGGGGTGCTGAACACACAATTACAGAATTGTACACCTGATACCTATATCATTTTATTAACCAGTGCCACCCCAATAAATTCAATAAAAAGGAAAAAAAAAAAGAAAAAGAAAAAAATCAAATTACTCTTCCCCCCCCTTGAATCTTCCAGTTCATTTGCAGTCGGGTCCAGAGTCCTTGCTTTGACCTCAAGGTGTGACCCGTCGCCTGCCTTCCTCCTTCTCCTCCTCCTCATCTCATCTCACTCTGCCTTTGGCTTTTTCCCCCTGCTGAGCTGGCCTTCTTTTGTCTCTATAGTCGGCTGGTGTCCATCCCTCTTCCTGGGATGCTCTTTCCCTAGTTGGTCACATGGCTGTTTCCTTCTCTTCCTGAAGATCTCAGCTTACATGCCGGCCCCTCAGAGAGCCCTTTCTTACCCTATGATTTCCTACTGGTTGGTTTGGTGTTACTTTTTCTCATTTATTTATCTGATTCGGGAGAAAGCTCTGTGAAGGCAAGAGCCAAATCTCTGTCTAGTATATTCTAGGTGCTCCGTAGACATATTTTAAGTGAAAAAGAAAGTTTGGAACTATAAATGGTTTTGCCCCATTTAATCATATAAACAGTGATCACCGAGTGAAGACACAGAAGGAATGTATGTTAAAAAGTGTGGGCTGCACAACACGAAGAAGCAACCCAGTCACATTAAATTTTATCAGGGTGAGTGTGAAATCCTGTGCTTTGGTTTAAAAAAAAAAGAAGTTCATTTCATTGTAGGGAATCAGGGCGCTCTGACTTGCTATTAATTCACATGCCACGTCCCGGGAGCCAGAGGTGCTGGCTGAGAAGGCAGTGCACTTTGCAACTGCACCCGTAAATCCACGTCGTTCCGTGTTTGAGAGACTCCTCCTCCAGGACTCCCCTGCAGCGACACCACTAGAACCGTCCAGCTCTCTGAGTCCCAGAGGAGCACCCCGTTCCTTCGTTTATTCTCTCACTCACTCACTCACTCACTCACAAGTTAGCGAGTATGTTCGGGACTCTTGTGAACAAAACTGTCACGGCTCTCATGTTCATGGATCTCAGGGCCCAGCTCCCAGACAGAAGTGATTTCTCCTTCAGTGAAAGTGTTGAAGCAGAATCCAGGGTGTCCTTTGTGGGGATGCCGTGCAGCCTAGTAGCTGAGACATCCTGCTCTGGACCCAGATTCCAGAGCCCAGTGGCTTCCAATGTCAGCCCCATGTTCATCAGCTGTGGGACTTCGGGCACGTTTTTAAAATGTCTCTAGGCTTCAGGATTCTTGTCTGTAAACAGAATATCAGAATAGGGCTACCACATACGGCTGTGGGAAGTAACTGAGTTCATGTATACAAATCGCTGGGCATAGTACGTGGCCTTTAGTAAGCGCTGAGCACATAGGGGACAAGCAGTTTTAATTAATAAAATTATGTTCCCTGGAGCACAAAAGGCTGAAAGACAGACTGAAGGGAGACGTGGCGATAGAGGGAGCCTAAGAGAGCAAAGCCCAAATTATTATGGTATTTCTTTTATACATTAAAGATTGCTCCTTGAGCGTGGACTTGAAGTCTCGACTGCAGAGCTGGTGACATTTGTATGACTTAGTCCTCTGTTTTAGGCTAGAGACGTGAGTCCTCTTTAGAAATACCACCAGACAGTTGTTTTTTTTGTTTTTGTTTTTGTTGTTTTACATTTTTACCCCCTAATGCCTATAAAGAAACACCCTTTGGAAACACTGACATCCACACTCTCTATAAGCACACGTCTTTGCTCTGGTTTGCTTTAGTGGCAGCTGAAGTACCCGAAGCTCGTCCTCCGCGAGGCCGGCAGCGTCCCTGAGGAGCTCCACAAGGACGTCCAGGAAGCCTTCGTCGCCCTGCACAAGCACGGCTGCCTGTTTCGGGACCTGGTTAGGATCCAAGGCAAAGACCTGCTCACTCCGGTCTCGCGCATCCTCATCGGTAACCCCGGCTGCACCTACAAGTACCTCAACACCAGGCTCTTCTCGGTCCCCTGGCCGGTGAAGGGCTCCACTGCAAACTACCACGAGGCGGAGGTCGCTGCGGCTTGCCAGACCTTCCTCAGGCTCAACGAGTACCTGCGGGTCGAGACCATCCAGGCTTGGGAGGAGCTGGTTGCCAAGGACAGAGCGAACATCGATGTCGTGCCAGTGTGCATAGGTCCGGACTTCCCTCGGGTTGGCCTGGGGTCTTTCGACGGGCAAGATGAAGTGGACATTAAGAACAGGTCTGCATACAACGTGACTTTGCTGAATTTCATGGACCCCCAGAAGATGCCCTACCTGAAAGAGGAACCTTACTTCGGCATGGGGAAGATGGCGGTGAGCTGGCACCACGACGAGAACCTGGTGGACAGGTCGGCGGTGGCGGTGTACAGTTACAGCTGTGAAGGTACGGTCCGCTCGGCGTCCCGCAGCCAGGGCTGTGGAGGCTCTGGACGTACACGTGAGCGTGCGTGCGTGCATATGCGTGTGCGTGTGTGTGAACACGGGGCTCGTATGTCCTGTTTAGCCGCAGCCGCGTAGCTGCAGGACACACCCCTTCCTCGCGCAGCTGTGCTGCCTGGCTCATGGTCATCCTGGCGCAGCGTGTCAGCACGACTGTTGCCTTGTCCCTCCCAGGCCCCGGAGAGCGGCCTCGGTTTCACACAGTGAGTGCCTTTCTCTAAAGCGCGGAGAAGATTGGGAAGGTGCTGATAAAGGGCTGGGACAACCAAAACCTGTCAGATCTCTCCAGGTTCCCACAGGTGCACGTTTCCCGTCTTGCCAAAATATTTTATTAGGGCTGATGTCGCTGTCTTGTGGGGAATGGTCTGTCAAATAGGGACTTGCTCTGGCTTCATCCCGCTCTGACTGCTGGTTTGCCAGCACTCAGTCCTCTCTGCTCAGGAGCCTCCCCAGCCCCCCGCCTGTCCTGCGCGCTGAGACCTGACTGCGTGGGTGTGGCGGGCTCTTTCTCCTGGTCCCCTTGGAGCACAGGTCACAGGCTCCCTTTTTTTGTGACCCACCCCCGTTTTCCTTCTCTCGTTCAGGTTCTGTGTGTTTAGTGTTTTCTGGGACAGGACTATTAATTACAAAGGACATTGAAGACGCTGATCAGAGCGTGACACCCCTGCCCGGCTTTCGTTTTTGCCTGATTATCTGACAAAGGAATATAAGATATAGGTATATCTCCTCTCCTTGTGTATTGGAAGATGCTTGGAAAACCTGAGTTCTACACAGTGCATGATGGAATGAACTGGAACTTTGAAGGGTTATTGTTTTCTGACAGCTGGTTTTTTCAGCTGGATCTTCTTGTTGTTTACTAAAATGCCTGTTTTGCAAAAAGGGATTGGAAAGAGAAATTCTCATGGTTCTCTTTCAATTTCTTACCATTTCCCAGCCTTAGGATGTTCCCCAGGATACCTGAACTACTTTCTAACCTGGCCTTAGGCCTTCAGCCTGGAACAAGGAACTAGTTCAGTGGCTGAAAATTTCCCCCGGTTCCTTGGCATCTCAAACGCTGATGCTGACTTAAGAACACTGCTGCGTGGGGATTTGCTGCTGTCCGAATGGAAAGCCCTGAGGCCCTCTGACCCTTAACAAGGCCTTGCCAGGGCTTTAAGAATGATGGTATCCGAGAACTCTGATGGGAACCAGCAGTGGGGTTTGCTGGTCTCCTCCTTACGGAGGCTGCGCTCTGACACGCAGGCCGCGGTATGTGGTGCCTGGGCGGCCACAAAGGTGTCTTTGTGCTCCAGGTCCCCTCGGCCTTACAGCTTAATAGTCCCATTGTCCTCCCAGAGTGTGGGTGACCGAGTAGTTCCTGAAATCTAGAATCTCTCTCAGAAAGGAATTTGAATTTTTAATGACTAGTTTCTGTGGTCAGGACTAGTTAAGACTGATAAAGGGTACCAATAAGGCTTATCCTTCAGATTTCTACTGGAGGAGGGAGCTGCAGCGTCGGCATCCGGGGACTCCTGGAAGCCTGTCTAATAATAATAGCCATGCTGGGAGCTCTCTTTTATGGAGCACCTACTGGGTACCATCCACTAGGATAAGCAGTTTACAGGTACTAACTTACTCACTTTTTATAACTGCCCCATGATCCAAGTGCTACTGCTACCCTCATTTTACAAAATTAGGAAACTGAGGCACAGAAAGATGCATCGCTTTCCCACGGCTATACAGTATGAATTAGCAGTGCTGGGATTTGAACCTCTGTGTTTTGGCTCCAGAGTCCTAACAGCTTTGGCCCAATGCCTTCGGAGCAGGCATTTCCTGTCCCTGCAGTATAGATTTCTCTGGGCTTTGGAGTTTTTGGATGTCCATCTCTGGACAAGCTAAAGGAATGTTCTACTCGCTCTTCCTTGCTGGCCCTGACGCCCTTGCTCCTCTCTCCCCACAGTGTCGGCTCTGTCTGTCCACACAGCCTCTCGGATGATGAGAATTCATTAGCTCTGTGAAGCGAAACTTCCGCCAGGTCTCTGGCTGCATGCGTGATAGTGGGTCAGGTGGCTTTCAGTGCACGTACCTTGAAACTTCTTGGGGGTACATCTCTTCCAAGTGGCTTCTTCCAGGCGACAAGGGACATGCCTGTTTCTCTGGCCTCCTTAGCGTCCTGCCAGAGGCACGTTCAGGTGGACTTGAAGAGAGCCATTTGGATTAAAATGGTGTTTGGGGTTGGGAAGGGCTTAAAAAGGACAGAGTGGATATTTCAGGCAACGGTACTGTTTTCTGGGCCCCAGGCTTGTTTATTGAGCATTTGCTCAGGGAAGTTCCGCGAGCCGTTCCGGGCAGCACGGAGGCTCCCAAGGTAAATCAGACGCCCTTCTTGCCTGGAAACGACAGGGGAGGGGAGGGGAGCTCCTGTGAGTCTAGTGATGAAATGGTGATGCATCTGTTCTGGAAGGGCCTTTTGAAGTCGCCTAGGTCAAGCCTCTCATTTCACAGATGAGAGCCTGGAGGTGAGGAGAATGGAAGTGACTTGTTCAAGGCCACACTGTTAGTTAGCGACAAGAGAGTGTTACATGCCGTGGGACAGAGTCACAGAAGACGCGTTGGCAGTTCAGAAAAGAGGCGATTACTTCCCGCTGAAGCCGAATTCAGGCAAAGCTTAAGATCTTTCTGGACTTGCTCTCAATACCTTTTCCCAGTGAAATCTTCAAGTAGGTTTATAGTGAGCTGGTCACCCCACTTCGATTTATTTCTCCGAGAAGTAATTTGTATAGGATACGTGTAATTATATACTGAAGTCAAAGGCTTCCCAAGCAGTTCTAGGGAAAAGATCTCTCCAGTAGGGAGATTGAAATGGTATGATTTTTAATCAGAAATGGCTTTGCGGAACCATGTGTGCATAGGCAGAGCATTTGATTTTTTTATTCTAGCTTTGCCAGCAATTGCTAGTTACTACGGGATATTAAAAAACACACTACCCCGCCCATTTTAGCAGGGAAGGCATTACAAACTCTTTGTTTAATATGGTCCTACACCTTGTTCTTAGACTGGAACACCTTCAAACAGACCACTTAAACAAAATAACGGGTTACCATTTTGGTTTACTTGGAAGGAAACATTTTCTGGGAGGTTGTCTTTATAGGAAAAGCAGTTCTTAAGCTATTTTAGTGCCAAAGATTGCCAAATACTGCAGATTCTTGATCTTATTTTCTCAGTCTCTCGTGAAGGGCCAAGAGGGAGGGATTCCAGTCCGTGCCTCCTATTGTGTAAGTGACAGGCTAGAAAGTTGAGACTTTGCAATGATATTTTTTTAACCCTCACATTCCCATTCATGACTTGGGAAGCGTTAAGTCCACTTAAAGATGGGAACTTTCTCCCATAGTTGTGAGATCTTTATATTTCTTAGCTCAGCTTTGAGACCATGAAAGCTAGATTGTAATTGTAGCTTAGGGTTTGGCAATGTTCCCCCTTTTAAAAAGGCTGTGATATCTGATGATTTTCTTAGCCTCCCAGCATTCCTGTCGAAGGTCTCAAAGCCCATTTGCTTTGTGTTATTGTGAAGTCACTTACACTGCTCAGTAAAGCTTGTCTAGTCCTATCAGTCACATGTTTTTTTTACCTCCATGCAACTATTTATTCAGCCAACAGGAAGCATCTGCTATTTGCCAAGCACACTTCTCGGTGCTGAACATATCACAATGAACACAAATCCTGCCCTTGGACAGCTTACGTTTTAGCAAGGAGAGATGGGAAGGAAACAGTTCAGTAGATTGTGTGGCAGGCGTGAGGTGAGGCTCACGGCCAACTAGGAAGGGCAGGCTGCCTTTAGAAGGGAACATTTCAGCAAAGGCTTGGAGCAGAGTGAGCGAAGAGAAAGCAGGCTACGTGGAGAGGGTCTGGAGTGTGATGTTGGGGAGTTTCGGAAGCAGCAAGTGTGGATGGCATGGAGCGAGGAGGGAGAGAAACAGAAGTGTGAGGGCAGCCAAGGCTGGGCGTGGGGGTGGGCAGGACTTAGGGCCCCGCAGGGTCGTGTACAAAGTGCCGGGCTGGCCCTGGGGATGGGAGCTGTCGCGTGTGTGGGTAGAAGAGAGGCCACCCGGCCGCAGGGCAGCTGGAAGGCGGCTGCCGTCACCCACACTAGAGACGGGGGCCGGTTAGAAGGGGCAGAGGTGGCGACGGGCCTGTGTACACAGTCCTGTCTCTCTGCCAGAAGACAGTGGCGGCGCTCAGTGCTGGTGGCGCAGGAAGACCCGCAGCGACATCTCCCATAGGTCGAAGCCGGCCCGTGAGAACGGCTGATGTCCCCCCTCTCTCAGTGGCTTTCTTGAGGTATAATTTACATTCAGTAGACTGCACGTATTTCAGATTCACAAGTGCAGAAGTGTAACACTCCTGCGAAGCCGTCACCACGGTCAGGACAGGGACCCGCACACGCAGCCATTACCCCGAAGTCTCCTCATGCCCCTTGGTGCTGCCTCCTTCTGAGCCTCCTGGCCCCCCTGTCCCCCACGTTGGGCAGCCACTGCTCTGCCCCGTCACTAGACCGTCTATTAGTGCCTTTTCTAGAATTTAATATAAATACTGGAATTACACAGTATGATTTTTTGCGGGGGGGGGTCTGCCTTCTTTCACTTAGCATGATTGTTTTGCGACTCATCCATGTTATTGTGTGTATGAGTGGTTTACTTTTTGTTTCTTTTTTATTGTGGTAAAATCTGCAGAATATAAAGATTTACCACATTATAACCATTTCTAAGTTACAATTCAGTGGCATTAAGTATGTTCATGCTGTTGTGTAATCATCACTACTGTCCATCTCCAGGACTTTTTCATCACCCCCAGCTGAAACTCCATCCCTCTTCCCCCACCTCAGTGTAACCACCGTGCCACCTTCTGTCCCTGTGTTTCCGACTGCTCTCGGGACCTTAGGTAGGTGCAACCACACGGTATTTGTCC